TTACTTAGTGACAGTGGACGTCAGCTCCCTATAAACGATTATAAAACATGATAAGGGTTACGATGCCACCAAGTATTTTTAGAACACTTTGGAATGTTCCCCCAACCACAAGTAGAATTTATTTTAGAAGGAATTTTATGGATTTTAAACAATAACTAATTCTGGTTTAACGAGGAGTTTAATTTACAGATTTGTGGAATGGCGATGGGCACCAGGTTTGCTCCCAGCTATGCAAATTTATTCATGTCTCATTGGGAATTACAGTATATCTATGGGTATGAGGACTGGGGGTTGAGCCTGGTGCTACATCACCATTACATTCACAACATATTTTTTATTTGGAAGGGGGATGAAATTTCCCTCATCAGTTTTTTTTTACTTTTTTTTTTTTATAATTTGTATTTTATTGAGGTTCATGCCAAGTAGCAGATATTTATGTCAGGGTATCAGTTTTTCAAATTAACAATCGAGAATAAGACTTTATGCTTAACATAACATAACATATTGCGTTTAACATAGGAGCAGACACATTATATATTAGCATAGCCTGGTGTACATGTACCCTCTCGGTGTGCATTCCATGTGTCTTGTGAAGTTAAGTGTTGATTCTGGGGGTAGCGGTTGTCGGGGTCTTCTGTTTCTCATGCTATGTCAGGGGGACTGTTTGCCTCGCTGTGTGGTGGTGGGGAGACCAAGTGAGTCTATGTGTGGGCATCTAACTGGGGTGGTGCTGTGTTTCTAGGATGCTGGCGTGTAACGTAGGGATGTACTGTGGTAGCGGCTTAAGCGCATGTTGTCTTGTGTTGCCTAGTGGTAGTTACAGTGCAGCCTGATAGCAATCACAGTTTGCGGATCCTGGGTATGGTCCGCGGTTTGCCTTCCCCAGTTCTCTGCTTCTCTTCCACGGTGCACCTGCTCGTGCTTGCTCTTGGTGTTGTGTCTTCTTTATTCAGGCTCTGTAGCAGTGACTCAGAGTCATTGGCCAAGGTGAGTGTGGTGGTCTTGTCTCCACTTGTCACCATCAGTGCTCCGTCTGCTCCCCAGCGGTACCGCATCGAGATGTCTCACAGCTTCCTGGCTACTGGGGCCAGTTTTCGTCTTTCCAGCAGTGCAGCGAAAGGGATGTCGTTAAAAAAGTTTATGCTGGCTCCCTCGTATTCCGCGCCTCCCAGCGCTCTGGAGCGGGCCATGATGGCCGATTTTGGAGCAGTGTTACCAGGATAGTGTCTCTCGTGGCTGCCTCCTGTGCTGTCGCTGCTTTCCTCACTCTGAATACTGTTAGTATCATGTTGGAGTCTGCTTCCTCTTTGAGGCCTATAGCTGTCAGCAGCCGGCAGCAGTAAGGTAAGAGCTGTTCCCCCTTCACTTCTTTGGGTATGCCCCTCAGGCGTATATTACGGTGCCTGTGTCTTTTTTCGAGAGAGGCCATTGTGCTGCTCAGTTTCTGGACTTGCAGAGTTAGAGTGACAACGCTGGATTCAGTAGCCCGCAGCCGGGTCTCCCGTCCTGTGTCTTTTGCCTCCACTTCTTGGAGCTTTTCCGCACTTCTCCCATGTCATGTCTTTCCCTGAGGTCTGTCTCCCATATTTGGCACATCTCTAGGAGCATTTGCTTTATGTCCCCTTTAGTTGTGAGGGACGAGTCATCTTCCGAGTCATCTGCTCCGTCTGAGTCGCCTTGTCTTGAGGAGGCAAATTCCTCTCCCTCTTCTTCCCAAGATTCCTCCGAGTTCTCCTCTTCTCAGATCTACACAGGCTCCATTTTGACGGTTGCCGGCAGCTTAGGCCACTCGAATGCCAGCCTTATATCTCTGCGTTTGGGAGTTTCTGACCCCTGAGGTTTGCTGTGCTTGCGCCCCATGTTGTCTCTTGGAGGGGGTGAGGTTGTAGGTGGTCCATTTTGTCAATTTCAACTTGTATTTTCGCGTGAGTCTCTGGGTGAAGCGGAGCTCTAAAAAAAGTGTCTGCTCAGCCTCGTGGTTGGCTACACCCCCAGTTTTTTTAACATTTTTTAAAAAGCAATAACTGGGGCATATCGCTTACCAGTGAATATAGTAAAACTACAGTTATATTCCTAGATCTGAATATTTACGTGGAACACAATAAAATAAAAACATGGATTTTTTTTAAACCAGTATATGTATCCTATGTAGCTGTCTAGGGGAGAGAGGCTGTCATCTGTCCCCATGGTTGTTAAATGTCCCTAAATCCCAACTCCTTAGAATAAAAAGAAACTGTTCGGAAAACATAATGTTTTAGGAATAAGCAAAAAAGATTTTAGGAGATTTTAGAGCTAAAGGCTGCAAAGAAGAAACCCTAAAGAAGGCATACGAAGATGTAGCAAAGGAGGATAGGATACCTCTTTTGAAATACAAACCCCAAAACACAATAGGAAGCGACAATAAGATAGCCTTGATTTGCGATTTTAACTGTAAAAGTAAAATTTTTAAAAGAATAGTAAAGAAATATTGGAATGTATTACGTGGGGATGAAATCATTAATAATATATACAGGAGTCACAGATTTAAAAAGAAATCTTGTACATAATGATATTAAGTCCAAGAAGAAATCCAATATGTTTAAAGAACCATCAGGATTTTACAGGTGTGGAGTTTGTATTGGATAACAAAAACAAACAAAGATATAAGGATGCACCTAAAACTTAAAATTATGATAAAATAAAGGACTAAATTAGTCAGATAAAATACAGAATAAAATAAGTAATAAAACAATAGTCCAATAAAATGGGCTTATCACAGTCCGTGAGGGTAGGTCCCACTTGTAAAGGAATATTCTTTACGGTGTAGATGGGATTGTATCTTCAAATGTTGAAAATTCAGCATATGTGGAGAGAAAAATAAAAACAGGACTCCAATGGCACAGTAAATCGGTGTATAAAATAAATATAAAAATATAAAATCAGTCTTACTCACACTTTTCAGAGCTAGGATCAGCTCTGATATTGTTCGCGTAAAGTGGAATGATCCCCACTTCAAGGATATATGGAGTGAATTTTGATAGTTGAATATCTGACGTGGGTTCAGCGTTCAATTTGACGTAATACTACCCAGAGGAAAAAATTAAATAAAATATTTAGTGCTCACTGTATGTAATCCAAAATAAAAGAAAGTAAAGTATACTACTCACGTAAAGTAGAGCAGACTCAAAACTGCTCAGTGGAGGCGCTCGGGTGGTATAATCCATAATAATTAAGGCGAAACGTGTTTAGATATTAATAGATTTTGTTCTTAACTTTAATATCTAAACGCGTTTCGCCTTAACAGGCTTCTTCAAGTAGATAGTAGGAAAGAGGGCCCTCTTTCCTACTATCTACTTGAAGAAGCCTGTTAAGGCGAAACGCGTTTAGATATTAATAGATTTTGTTCTTAATTTTATAATAAAGATATTTTATTGGCATAAAATACTTTATTGCCATTTGCTTTCTCCTTTACCTGATTTTACATACATTTTCTTTTATTTGATTTTACGTATACGGCTCACCCTGCAGGAAGTGCAAAGAATCCATAGGTGGGGATTATACCACCCGGGCGCCTCCACTGAGCAGTTTTGAGTCTGCTCTACTTTACGTGAGTAGTATACTTTACTTTCTTTTATTTTGGATTACATACAGTGAGCACTATATATTTTATTTCATTTTTTCCTATGGGTCGTATTACGTTAAATTGAACGTTGAACCCATGTCATATATTCAACTATCAAAATTCACTCCATATATCCTTGAAGTGGGGATCATTCCACTTTACGCGAGCAATATCAGAGCTTATCCTAGCTCTGAAAAGTGTGAGTAAGACTGATTTTATATTTTTATATTTATTTTATACACCGATTTACTGTGCCATTGGAGTCCTGTTTTTATTTTTCTCTCCACATATGCTGAATTTTCAACATTTGAAGATACGATCCTATCTACACCGTAAAGAATATTCCTTTACAAGTGGGACCTACCCTCACGGACTGTGATAAGCCCATTTTATTGGACTATTTTTTTATTACTTATTTTATTCTGTATTTTATCTGACTAATTTAGTCCTTTATTTTATCATAATTTTAAGTTTTAGGCGCATCCTTATATCTTTGTTTGTTTTTGTTATCTGTTATCATTAGGGGATTATTGGGGACTCCCCTTTGAGGAGTGCTGCCTTTCCTAATAATTTTATTGTGGCAATTTAGCGCAGATTTTTTCTCTTTTTCCAGTGGAGTTTGTATTACCTGTAAAAATACAGGTAATAGGAAGAGATACCACAGATAATTTAACAAACCATCTGAAAGAACAGAAAAATATCAGATTAAAGACCTCATTACCTGCCACTATAAAAAGTTTATATACCTTGTAACATGCACTTGTGGATTGGGATATGTGGGAAAGACATCAATACCTTTAAAAACCCACATACAAGAGCATGTGAGGAACATAAAAAATGGATTTGTTAAACATAGTTTATCATCACATTTTAAACATGAACAAAACCAGGATCTGACACACTTGAATTTTACTGATATACAGTTAATAAGACCCAATTGGAGGGGGGGAAGATCTTATTAAGAAAATGAGACAATATGAGATGCGCTGGATTTTTCACTTTACTTCCAAAAGGACTCAATAGTGATTTTGAATTATGTAATTTTCTATGAATACCTTTGTAATCAATTTTTTTAATCTACATTTTTTTGTGTTTTTGTATATGTATTCCTATTTTTATATACATATGAATATAACATTTGATAATCAAATAAGGCACTTTATTCACTTTATTACACTTTGGAATATTGAAAATAATTCTGCTAAATCAGTTGTGTGTAATTTAATTTTAATCTAAAGTAGCCTATATGCTCTAATTTTAAGCATATTGATATGTCTAGGGTTTATTCAAGAATATTATACTCCCGCCATCAAAGATGTATAGCAGGAACATTATCAATAATTGGGATTTACTTAGTCACTAACCGCAAATATCTTATTAATACATTTACTTTTATGCTCTATTCCATCATCGTCCGAATGAGACAACCATGATACCGATACCAGGAACTGTCTGTCCTCTTAGACAGTGGAAAAGGACTACAGTTCCCAACATGCATTTGGTAACTAATGATGGAGGGGCAGTGACGTTGCGTCAGATCTCGATATGTCACTTCTGGTGAGTACCGAGACGGCCAGATGCCCTGGAGGAAAATGGGCGAATCAAGACGGAAGGTGATGTGGTGAATGACGTTGCACCTAGCCCGCCCGTACGTGGTATAACTAATTGAGAGCACTATGTATAAGTGGACTCTGCTAATGGATTGGACAAGGATTATTCAAACGAACCTATGGAAACACCAGTCAGGGGTATTTAATGACAGGAGAAAGCAGCTGTGATTGTATATCGATTGAGAAAGCCTAGTTTATTGGGAGAAACGCATCTCGGCAAGAGGAGCCTACTTTGGGACAATTTTTTATTCATTCTTAAAGTTCAATTTTTCTTTTATTTTTCTTTTTTCTTTTATTTTTGTGTATGTTGTAATTTTATAATAAATATATCTTTTTAGCCCTATCTTGGCTTCCTCCACTTCTGCTTCCTATAGAAGGGTGGTGCCCTCTTCATTGGCACCTAAGTGATTATACCCAGAGCCAGGTTTCATAGGCTCTGGAAAAGGTGAGCAAAAACTTGCACTTTATAATTCAAACACCTTGTTGATATTACGTACTTCACCATAGAGGTTTTCAATTCTTTATTTCTCTGAGGGCAACTGTTAACGCCATCAAAGGGTAAAGTGCCACCAGATGGCACAGAAGCTGCTGTGATTTGAGCCTGTCCTATTAGAGCCTCTCATCAATGTGAGTTTACATCAATCAAATGTAGTCATATTACATAAATTCCTTACATATTTATGCTATGTTGTGTTTCCTTTCTTCTCCCTTATTTATGTTCAACTAAGTTGCCTCTCTGAAACAATTACCGGACTGTTTTCATTGGTATAGTTTACTTTGTCAAAGGAAATTTGACTTTGATATAAAAGTTGTGAATTGAAGCTGTTTGTATCACCAGGCCACAACTTAGTAATCATGTTTTATTTCAGCAAGATTCTACTCTGCAAATACACTACTTCTGGTCTGGTTTATAATTTTTATTTAGGTTTTAGGCTTAGTACACTAGAGTTGGTTTAGAAATTCCTTTAGAACAGAGTGGATTTTTCTAAAACATAATCTGTATAATTGAGAGAATATGCTTTTTGTTATATCAATGCAGCATTTTATTTTAGATTGTATGTGTATCTGCTCCATTGCCTATTTTCTTGGAGATTATATTCAGTATTCTGCTATTTGATCCCTTGGGAACCTTATGTTTGGCAATCCCTTTAATGTGTGTTGTATGTTTGTCAGGTGGGACATTATAATTTCTGCAATAAAATTTACTCTCTGAAGGCTCATATTCTCCATGTAATATTGATGCTGGGTATTGCAAGTGTCTTCAGTCCTTAGACCATTCTACCAGGTTTAAACTTCCATGCAATATTTTATATGATAACAGACCAATAAGGAAAATTTCTGAACAGAAGGTCACACTACTTCTGGCATGAATTCTGATGTTCACAGGGATTCTTCTGGGTGTCCTATTATCTGGACTTTCCAGCCAATATATGGATTTAAGCTGTGGAGTCAACCTGCATAATGAAATATTTTAGCTTGTGACAAACATTTGGCTAACATTTTTCACATGTTCTCTGTACCTAGATTTGTTTAAGTGATGTTCACTCCTAACATTCCATTGATGTACTTTTGTGAATTATATGCTTGGAGTGGTGTTATTATCTTTGCAGATAAAACAATGTGTACAAAAATCCTAAAATCACCATAGGCTCTGCTGTAAAATGCTAATCACTATCTGACGATAAGTTCAGAGTAAGTATGTGGTTGGTTTGTTCTCATAAGGACAATTTAAAAGAACACTATAGTCAACAAAACAACTTTAGCATTTAGGAGTTTTGTTTCTGTTTATGCAGCCCTAGACACAAATCCCTGGCTGTGACTGACACAGCTTGCATGAGAAAAAAAAGATGGTTTCATTTTCAATCAGGTGTTACTTACTTTAAAACTGTTTATCTCTAAGTCTGTAAATTGATACATACATATAGGAAGTTATTAAAAGAGCAGGAGATAATATATTCTAAATTACACAGCATTTGCAATAAAGGAAGTGTAAACATTCGGAGTTCCCCTGACTTCGGTTGCGATCCTGGGGTCTGCCCGATCCAGCAGCCCCCAGCCATGTGATCGTGGGGTCCTCAGGCATACCGGACAAATGCCCCGGTGGGCCGCAGTGGCCATGGGCCAAGGTCGGCAGGGGAGGTCACATGACCTCCCCTGCCGGTCTATGCAGGGCCGGCACTATCAGAGTGTCGGCCCCACTGTTTGCCACGATGGGCCGGTGGGGAGATTAAAGATCTCCCTCACCGGCCCACTTGAATAGACATGCGTCTGGAGAGGGAGAGGAGGACCCGGCGGAGCTCTATCTTGCAGCTCCTCCGGGTTCGTCTCACAAGATCGGGGGCATTGCCATGGCAACGCCCCCGATCTCGTCAGAGTGAACTCTAGTCCGCAGGCTAGAGTTCACTCACCACTGGACCACCAGGGATGATATGAGAGTGCCGGTCCCTCCCCCCTCTCTCCTTGGTACCACCATGCCGGTCCACCTCTCCCAGGCTAACGGTAAGAAGGGAGGGGGGTATATAATGCCTGCTTATTTTTTTAATTTTATTTCCAATCCCCCCAAATACACAATCCATTCTAACATTCACACTCAGCACCCTCACACACAGCACTATCACACACAAATCCCACACACAGAAATCCCACACACAGCACCCTCACACACAAATCACACACAAATCATACACATCACCCTTACACACAGCACCCCTCAAACACGGCATCCATAACACACACATACTGCACCCTTCACATACACACTACACCCCTCACAGACACCCACTGCACCTCTCACACATACACACAGAACCCCAACACACTACACCAAACAAACACACACACACACACACAATACTTCCAAACATATTCATAATATATATATATATATATATATATATATATATACACATATACATATACACACACACTACAGCACCCCTCACAAACACTGAACCCCTCACACAAATACTGCACTCCTAAACACACACACTAGATCCCTTACCCAACTCTGGATCATATACACACACTAGATCCCTTTATACACTCTGAATCCCTTATACACACACACACACTACATTCCTAACATGCAGACTCTGGATCCCTTATACACACACTAGATTCTTGTAAACAAACACATACTACACCCCTAAACACACACTCTCTACAACCCCTACAAACACTACATCACCTATATACATACACACACACACTATAGCATGTATGCACACACTTACTACATCCCCTATACACACATTCTCTACAGCCCCTAGCCACATATGCATTACATTACACCAAAAACAACATAACTAAAACCAACCTTATTACACAATACCACACCACAATCCACTCACTCTACACACACACAATCCCACAAGCAGGCTCCAAACACACACACACACACAATACTCTTTCCTGGCCCTTTTGTCTTCTGGTTTCCATTTATAGAGACACCAGAGACAAGTTGCAAGGAAACACAGTGCAAGCATGTTATTAAATTTGCTTGCACTGTGCAGAACAAATACAGATTTTTTTTTTCTCATGCTAGAACTCTTTAGCAGAGCTCTGCGCATGGTCTGCCCTGGAAGAGCATTGAACCAACATGCTCACTTTGAGAGGGGGCGTGTTTGTCATTGGTGATGATGAAACACACCCTCTCTGCCCTGCCCCCTTCTTAGTGGGCCGCTGTGATAAAAAAATGCCCGGGCTGAATTTTTCTCCCAGTCTGGCCCTGTGTGTGTGTGTGTGTGTGTATATATATATATAGCAGAAATGACTGCACTCCTAGCACTTTATAGAGATTTTCAAATAAAATGCAAGGCCATGTGTGCAAGGCCGAGAAAAGGGGCGGGGCTACAGGTTACTTAGTAACAATCCAACTGGACTGATTGCTTTCCACCTTGTGGCCTAGTAGCTACAATCATGATTGAGCTCAGGGTAAAGTAGGAGTGGATACAGAGTCTAGAATGTTGCAAAAATTAATCTGTCGGTGTTCATATATTTTAAACCGTATAACAGGCTGGAAGGGCCATCAGGAATCCAAAATCTATTATCATACTGTAAATTCACTCTTTGAGTGCTGGAGCAGTTCATCCAATGCAGCACTGAAAGGGTGTATCTGTTCCTTTGTAACTGAGGAAAGAGCTGGTTTATAAGTCTACTCTTAAACTCTCTATGCTTATAGCAATTAGGGTGGGCATATCTCATGTTTCGGATCTAAAAAACACATTTAATATAGACATACATGATTTTTTGAAATAAATAAAAACAACAGCTCAAGGCAGGAGATGTTACCATGTTAATACATTGATTATGCATAAGGCACTAAAGTTTAATAAATAATATGGGCAAACAAAGTGACCAGTGTTGAATTGCATAGTGTCTCCTGCATAGTTATTTATGATTATATACAAGGTGTGACCTGAGTGGTGTTATCTCTTGGGTACATAGCACACAACATTGGAGTGTGGTGGTCTAGTAGGGTATTTAACCCCTACATGATTAGTATGTGTGCCCAAGCTATGTGTAATAGCCTATTTACCATGCATGGAACAAGCAATGGAATGATACGCAATGTATGCAGGGGAGCATAAATCAAATTATAGCAACAAGACAATCTATACACAATGCTGTTTAAACAAATATGCTTAGGATTATTGGGTTAGATTAAACCGTATATTTAACTCCTATAGGGAAACAAAAAAATGTACTATAGAAACAGATAATGTGTACTTCTCGTTCAAGCCTCTGGGATATACTGTGTCCAAAGTTTTTATCCAAAACGTTTCACGTTGTAGGAGAAGTTTACTTCGATCACCCCCATGTCTGAGGGGGGTATATGGTCTATACCCATAAACTTCAGAGTGGGTAGCGTACAGGAAGGCCTGACAGAGGTACTAATTCACACCTATAAAGCACTGAACAATTCTTATGTGGGTACCACTAACTTGAAGGGAGAGCGAAAGAGGAGGATCAGTATTAGGAGGGGGAAAGACAAGGAGCTCAGTTTTAGAGAGATTGAGTTTCAGAAATCGGGAGGACATCCAGTCAGAGATGGAAAAAAAGGCAAGCAGTGACACGTTGCAGGACGGCAGGAGAGAGGTCCGGGGAGGAGAGAAATATCTGGGTGTCATCAGCGCACAGGTGGTAGTGGAATCCAAAAGAGGCAATAAGTTTGCCAAGAGAGGCAGTATAAAGAGAAAATAGAAGGGGACCAAGTACAGAGCCTTGGGGGACTCCAAATGAGACAGGATGAGGGGAGGATGTGTCATTAGAAAAGGAGACACTGAATAAGCGTTGGGAGAGATAAGAGGAAAACCATGAGAGGACAGAGTCACATAGACCGAGCAATTGATGAGTTTGAAGGAGAGCATCATCAACGGTGTCAAAGGCAGCAGAGAGGTCAAGAAGAATTAGTATGGAGTAGTGGCCTTTGGATTTAGCTACAATTAGGTCATTAGTAACTTTGATAAGTGTAGTCTCGGTAGAGTGGAGAAGGCGGAAGCCAGATTGAAGTGGGTCAAGGAGAGAGTTGGAATTGAGGAAATGAGACACACGGGTAAAGACAAGTCTTTCCAGAAGCTTTGAGGAAAAAGGGAGCAGGGATATACGACGATAGTTAGAGGGGGAGGACGGGTCATGAAATGTTTTTTTCAGTATAGGTACTACAGTGGCATGTTTAAGATCAGCAGGGACAATGCCAGAAGAGAGAGAGAGCAGTTGAAGATGTGTGTTAAGGAAGGCACAAGACAAGTGGAGAGAGATCGGATAAGGTGAGATGGGACAGGATCGAGCGGGCAAGTGGTGGGGTGAGAGGAAAAGAGAAGAGCAGCCACCTCTTGGTCAGTAGCTGGGGAGAATGTCTGAAGGGTAGGAAAGGCATGATCTATGTGTGGTTGAGAAAGAGAACGGCAAGGAGGGGAGAATTCTTTCCTTAGCTGTTCAATCTTGTTGGTAAAGTAACATGCAAAGCTATCGGCAGTAAGGTTAGTTTGGGGGGTGGCCAAAGCAGGGCGAAGAAAAGAATTAAAGGTGTTAAAGAGACGCCTGGGATTGCAGGAGCATGAACCAATGAGAGAGGAAAAGTAGGACTGTTTGGCGAGGGCAAGGGCTGCGCTGTATGAACACAATATGAATCTATAATGGAGAAAGTCTGACTGGGTGCGAGACTTCCTCCAGGAGCGTTCAGCACAATGAGAGCATCTTTCCAGGTAGCGTGTTAATTTAGTATGCCATGGTTGGGGGTGTGTCCTCCTCGAGGTGCTTGTTTGGAGCGAGGCTGCAGCATTCAAGGCAGAGGTGAGGGTAGTGTTATATGCGGAGATGGCCAGTGAAGGACAGGAGAGGGAAGGGATGGATAGCAGTTGTGAATCAATAGCAGCTGACAGCTGCTGGAAGTCAAGAGAATTAAGGTTCCTCCTGAGTGGAGGAGGGTTAGGCTGAGGTTGTTGGGTGAGGGTGTACACAAGAGCAAACAATAAGAGGTGGTGATCAGAGAGAGGAAATGGAGTGTTGCAGATATTAAATACTGTACATGCATAAGAGAAGATTAGGTCAAGGGTATTGCCAGCTACATGGGTGGGAGAATTAGTCCACTGCGATAACCCGAGGGAGGAAGTAATTGAAAGTAGTTTGGAGGTTGCTGAGGTCAAAGGTGGGTTAATGGGAATATTGAAGTCCCCGAGAATTAGGGGTGGAATATTAGAAGAGAGGACATAAGGTAGCCAGGCAAGGAAGAGGAGAGTGGAACCAGGGGGACAATAAATAACGGCAATGTTAGCAGAGAAGGCTTTGAAAAGGCAAATTGAATGTATTTCAAATTATGGGAAAGAGAGAGAAGGGGGGTGGGTAGAGGTTTAAAGGAGCAGTGAGGGGAGAGGAGAAACCCTATACCACCACCTTTACATTCAGAGTTTCTTGGGTTGTGGGTAAGTTGAAGACCAAATATAAACAATTTGTCTCCTGTAAGTTATCAATACTGTATACAGTGTATGCTACAGTTAAGAGTCTGATATTTTGGTTTCCTGTAACTACAGGTAAGTAGCTAAGAAGGCAAGATGAAGAACTGAACATTATTTCATTAGGGAATACATACTTCCAGAGAACAGTGGAATTTTCAGTTCAATTTCTCCTTCCTGCGTGATAGCATGTTATGACTGTTTTCATTCATTAGTGTCTGAAATTTCAGGGCTTGCTCTAGCCTGGTGCTTGGAAGTTATGCTCTTTTAACAAGGTTCTGATTTCAATGCGCCATCCATTGATTATGTCCTGTATATTAGATTATATTACATTAATTTCTATTTTTATCAAAATATGTTTATAATTTCCAGACCATGTCTTTATGTTTTAACCCCTTAAGGATTGAGCCAAATGTACACGTTGTGATCAAAACAAAACGTAAACAAAACCTGGAATTTGACTATATGTCTGTTCAACCGTAATTCACCTCTTTCATATTAAGTGCACCCACACTTATTATATATAATTTTATTCAGGAGAAACAGGACTTTAAATTAGCATCAAATATTTACCTATGAAACATAATTTAATATGAATAAAATATAAACAAATGGAAGAAAATAAGAAATTATGTAAATTTTTTAGTTCTACATGATATTTTATTTATTTTAGTTCTACATGCCATTGTATTCAGTGATGTCTCACATGTAAAACAGTACCCACTATGTACAGGTTTCGTGGTGTTTTGGGAAGTTACAGGGTCAAATATAGCATGTTATTTTTTTCAGTTTTTTCACATTGAAATTCACCAGATTGGTTACGTTGCTTTTGAGACCGTATTGGTAGCCCACTAATGAGAATTACCCCCATGATGGCATACAATTTGCAATAGTAGACAACCCAAGGTATTGCAAATGGGGTATGTCCAGTCTTTTTTAGTAGCTACTTGGTCACAAACACTGGCCAAATCTAGTGTTAATATTTGTTTGTGTGTGAAACATGCATAAAACTAATTTGAACGCCAATTTCTGCCAGTGTTTATCATAATTCCACTTTATACATGGATTCCGTGGAGTATGTGTATGCTGTATACAACATCTTTGAAACACAACTCAGGATGAGGAGCAAAGCCAGTGACCCACTCATGGACAGCTGTTAATGCAACTCATCAGTATGAGATTGGTTACTGGCTTGCAATGAAGGCTTGGCGTTACTTGTAAAGTACATAGCAACAAAGTTGTGGTGGGGGAAAAAGTGTGGATGAAAACCTCTTCCATCTGTGGATAGTAAATACATTGCTAAACACAAATACACACACCAGTCAAGCCATAAGACTTGCTTTTTCAACAGAAATCTCACTTTAACAGTGCTCTCAGGTGTAGATTACCTGAAAAGCAAATATTCTTGTCAAGATGCAGAAGCGCACCATATCCTAGAAGAAGAAAATATGTCCTTTTAATAAACTATTGCCGAGCATAATCAAAAAATTAAACACAAGCAATAAAAATTGCAATAAATTGTGTCGATGCCAAACTATGGGAGATGTGATATAGGGGACAGTTAGATCTAATATAACTGCATTAAAAATTAGATAATGAAAAGATAAGGTCAATGCTTGTAGTAAGGTGTGAGAATAAATAAATAGGTTGAAAAGGAACAATTACTTCTGAAGTAGTAGAAGATGCAAGACGCTCATGCAGATTAAAATTATCCAAACTCAAATTGTTAGGGAAGTTAGAGCTAACAGATAAGAGCTATACATCCCACAAAGTAACAGATCCCCCCAAAAACATCATTGTTTTATTAGTAGAGTATTTAAGAAGCAAAATATATAGCTAATTGTTTCCATTAAAATAATTTGAAAGCTATAATTTCAAAACTAGCTACTTAGATCTTATAGGACCATATTCCACCCAAATGAAGAATATATGTAATGTGCACTGAGCATGTATAGTGGCAAGTAGATTCTGGAACAGCCATTCTAGATTCACAGTCTCTTGTACAATTTTGGAAAAACAAAATATATCTAAAATACTACACATAGGGCTTTAGGAGCCCTTAAATAATTTAGGTTGCATTGGATGCTTGTAGACTTTTAAACCATCTAAGCTTTGGACTAGATAAACTGAGGGTCCAATTTTGTCTATGATAAGATATAGATAAACCTTCCCAACTATCCTTAGGAAATTTCAAAGGATTTTCCTGTCCTTGTTTATGTATGCAAACCAAATGTCCCAATTTGTGTTCAGTAAGGTCAGACTTTTTATCAAAATCACTTTTGATTTTTAAGTTCGACACTGCATCAGCATACAGTGCTTGTCGTTTTATTGTTGGAAGCAATATAGAGTGTTCTTGTGTCCCACTCTTCAATATATAGTGCTTCACATTCCTGTGAAGGCAAACTGCAACCAAAATGGTGATGTAGCCAAGTAGAGATCTCTTTCAAAATGGCATTAACAAATTTCCCACCATTATTCAAATCTATATTGTTTAAAAATCCCAACAGGACAGAAAGCATCCTTCATGAGGACTTATTGGTGGTAATAGTATGTATGTGCAGTGTTTAAGCTTGAAACACTGCACACACAGAATTCTTGTTAATCAGGGTACCAAAAGTTTAAATCCACCTGCTAAGAGTCAGTAACAACCAACATGTTGCCATTTTTATGGGCTGTCAACAGCAATTTCCAATCTGGTCTACCTGCAGCCTTTCCTAATTCAGTACAATTCAGAATCTAAACTAATCTGAGTATTTTATTTTAGAATAACTGAAACTCCCATCAATATCAAGTCAATGACAAACTAAAACCGTGTAATATCCGAAGCGTCTAAAATACTTCATCTTCTAAAAACACAGCAGCACATATAGACTTGGAACAAAAAGTCAATGTCCTAGATTCAACATACACTGTCTTAGGCATGCCAGTAGCCCCAACAATGCTAGCAGTACTATACATGCTAGTTTCTGGTAATCCAGATATATCAGCTGCAGATAACTGCTTCACTGGTGTTAATGTGCAACAATTTGGTTAGCATTATGTAAGACTTTCTATATCAATATTTACAACCAGAAAAAAAGTGTTGCACTTAGAATAATACTTAACAATTATCAGCAATGTATCTAAAGAAATCTGTGAAATATAACGTAAACACATCTAGTGCAGACAATCTGATCCAACCAAAATATTTTATACACACAAGAGGACATAGTTTTAAATTAGAGGGGCAAAGGTTTAAAAATAATATCGGGAAGTATTACTTTACTGAGAGGGTAGTTGATGCATGGAATAGCCTTCCAGCTGAAGTGGTAGAAGTTAACACAGTAAATGAGTTTGAGCATGCGTGGGATAAAGCTATCCTAACTATAAGAAAAGGCCAGGGACTAATGAAAGTATTTAGAAAATTAGGCAGACTAGATGGGCCAAATGGTTCTTATCTGCCGTCACATTCTATGTTTCTATGTTCTTTGTTTCTATACATGTATCTTCTGCTCACATTTACCAGAGCCCTATCATGCCTGGCTCAAGTTGAGAGAAGCTCCTCTTGAAAGGCAATGAATCACAAAGCCTTATATTCACATTATGGCAATATGATCTTCTTGAACATAAGATATGAATGAGACAAAAAAAAAAAAAAAATAGAAACCCCAATGGCACAGGATCATAGCAGCTTTTATTCATATAACATTTAAAAACTGCTTACTTTAAGATGTAATGGGTATACCAAACAACAGTTCAACAAACACACATTTTGTGCATAAACACTGACGTTTTGATAGTTTCCCTTGGGTTTTGTTAAGTTCCAATCCTTAGCTCAGGATCCTAATGAAGTATCTCCATGACATCTGTGTCCCACCCTCTGGCTTTTACTGTACTAACTTCACCCCTACTGTCTTCTGATTGGTGCAGAACACAGAACACTTCAGCTGGTGAGTATTATTGCATTCTGCTCTTAAGATCCTCAAACAGCCACACAAAAGTATGTAAAAATCGTATAATTTGAGGTAAGCTTATACAGCTAATACCTCCTACCAATGTTCATATTGCCCCATAAGTGGAAAGTTTCATTATATATACATATCATAGTTTGAATGGTAATTTAATAAAACCAGAAAAAGAAACATTTCACAAATATATTACTATTAAAACAAACATACATTATGCAAACCTGTTAAAGAAAAGGAAAATATTTAAACATTATACTTTATCATTACATCTATACACTCATATAGAAAATACATAGATAAGCTGGCATAAAAATATATACCACAAAGGGAGATTATCTACTAAATGCATTTATCTAAATTTATAAAAACGAAACTTTATTGCAAATCTGTTTGGTAAAAATCTATAAAACAGAGATACTACCTAATAAAAAAACCTAAACATTACTTAATAATCATAAAAAGGATTATCAGCTTACCACAGTCACACAAAATTGCAAAATACCCGCAAATCAAATAAAATGTCAGCATACTTCAAATAAAAAGCCTCTCTGAAGTCACTAAAAAAGTAAAAAAAAAAAAGATTAAAAAAAAAAGAAGAAGAATGTCTACGACAAGATCGTTATTACTCGTCAGATTAGATGGGTTGAACGGTTCTTATCTGCCATCACATTTTATGTTTCTATGATTTGCTTAGAAAAAACATTGCTTAAAAACACTAAATAAAAGACAAAAAAATTATAGAAACTCCAATACAATTTCGATAATTCCCAATATATACCAGTTGAAACATACCAAATATTGCACAAAGAGACAACTGGTAATAAAAAAAGAATTAATAATTACATAAAAGTCAAAATGCAAGATCAATATTCAAGCCCATGTTACCATACGATTTCAACTTGTGTATCCATATGGTTTCACACTAGCATACCTTCAAAATTCCTTTTTCTCACATCCTTCTGAACTAAATCTATTCCAATATACAAAAATCTATTAAAACTAAAGGTTGTTGCAATGTTTAGGGACTCTATAATTAATATCCTTATTGGCTATAGCCCTCATATGTTCCAATATATGTTCTCTAAGTGGTCTAATAGTACGTCCAAAATGCTATGCCCCACACGGGCATTGAAGTAAATAAATTGTATTTCCTGTTGAACAATTAATAAAGTGCTTAATTTCAAATGTATTCACTGTGGTAGTGCTTTTAAAATCTTTTGTGGATCTTGGATCTTGACACGTCTTGCAATGTCTGCATCTATAAAAATCTTTAGGTTTAGAGATAAAAAATCCCATAATATCTTGCTTGACAATAGAAGGTAAAAGACTGGGTGCTAAAATGATTTACATCATTTTGCTTTATTATAAATGACCTTGGATCTCTGTGGTAGAATACTATTTAATACATCATCTTGCAATAACGCTTTTTCAAGCCATTTAAATTTCCTATTGAATTGTGTTTTAAAAGCCAAGTTAAAATCATATTGAGTCAGTTGTTCTTCATTCCTGTTCTAATCTCTGGATTTGTTCTCTGGTTTAGAACAAGATTTCTTGCTTCATTTAATAAGGTTCTGGGATAATGACAGTTTTTTCCAATAAATTAACCTGGGCTTTAAAATCCCCATGTCTTGTACAATCCTATTGATTCTCATAAACTACCCCTTGGCGATAATGGTCAACCACTGATGGTGGTGGCAACTATTAAAATCTATATAACTATTAGTTATTAGTGCAAGTCTTCTGGATTTCCTGAACAAATTTAAGATTGTGGTCATTGTCATTAATATACGTTAAAAAATTTCTAAAAAGTCTGTGTTCAGACAATTCCAGATAATAACATTACAGAGCACCAGGTTGGACGCCCAGCCATCCTTCACCCAAATGTGGGTGTCCTCCCACAAAGCTGGGTGCAAACCAGGTGGCCATAGTTCTTCCACAAATCTGTTAGTAAAACTTATAAAAAAAAAAAATATGTGTGAGAATAAAAAATATACAATCTAAAGTGAGCATTATCGAGTTAACATCCAGATCCTTATCTTTTTGCAGAACCATCTTAATGGCTGCCAACCCTTTTATGTGGTCTATAACCATGTAAACAGATGACACATGCAACATAGCCCAAATCATTAATATTATTATTGGTTTTTATATAGCACAACTTATTCCGCAGTGCTTTACAATATTATGAAAGTGGGAAATTTAATAATAAACAAGACAATTACAAAATGTTACAGGAACAATAGGTAGATGTGAACCCTGCTCAGAAAAGCTTACACTCTAGAGGAGTGGAGTATAAAGACACAAAAGGAATGGCATCAAGGGGGACAGCAAACAACAAGGTGTAAAAGTAGGAGAACTAGAGGTGAGAGTCCTTTAGGAGAGAGCAGGAGACACATTTATAAAATAGAAGTTACCCTGGGAAAAGTTTCTGAAATGATGTGTTTTAAGGGCCTTCTGGTGGGGGCAATTAGGCTATTCCAAAGGAA